TATATATATGTATATAACAATATGTATATAACAATATATTGTACATGACAATATGTATATATGTGTATATATATATATAACAATATGTATATAACAATATATTGTACATCACAATATATTTATATGTATATATATATGTATATAACAATATGTATATAACAATATATTGTACATGACAATAAGCAGGTTGGGAACCTTCCTTGAGGCCTGGTGGAAACCAATGTAAGAGAAAGGGATTTAGGAGGTGGCAGGGCCTGAAGGGGCTCCAGGAGAGCTGGACAGGGATTGCTCATTAGGAAGAGGGGAAATGGGTTCCTACTGAAACTTCAGTGGGAGATGAGGAGGGAATTGTTCCCTGGCAGGGTGGGCAGGCCCTGGCACAGGGTGCCCAGAGCAGCTGGGGCTGCCCCTGCATCCCTGGCAGTGCCCAAGGCCAGGCTGGACACTGGGGACAGTGGGAGGTGTCCCTGCCATGGCAGGGGGGGCACTGGGTGGGATTTAGGGACCCTCCCAGCCCAAAGCATTCCTGGATTCTGTGATTCCAAGGGAAGTGAACCCTTGGGATTTCCCTCACCCCCACATGGGGATGGTCTCATGCCCATGCTGTGCCAGGCAGGGGTGATGGGAGCAGCCCCCAGCCCCACAGGGCTGCAGCTTGCCCTGATTCCCACCCTGCCCTGCCCAGGATGTGATTCCAGTCTGCAGCCCGGCTCTGTGTCCGTGCCAGGCCCCAGGGAGCCCGGGCACCGAGGGCTGAGCCCCAGACCTACGTGGAGCTGAAGTCTGCCCAGTTGTTGGCTGCTGCAGGAGCCTCTGCAGGGGCAGGGGCTCCCAGGGATGTGGAGCTTTCCTGCACAGACACTTTGGGAGCAGCAGAGGGCTCGGCCACGGGCTTGGCAGAGGCTGGAACTTCACTGTCTGGGATCTTCTCTGCATAGTTTGCAGGGAACCATCCAGTCTTCCCCTTCAGCTCTCCACCAAGCCACCCTGGCTCTCCAGTCTGGCTTTCATCCACCTGCAGACACAGGAAGTCAGAGAGTTAACAAACACATCCTGCAAATGGGAATTGTGCTGAAAACAACCCAGATCTCCTCTGCAGCAATGAACTTTCTGCAATGCAAGAGGGCTTGACAATTTTTTTTTCCTTTTCTTTCCATACTGAAATCACTGAACCTTGGAATGGTTGGGGTCAGGTCAAACCTGTCCTGCTCCACCCCTGCCATGGCAGGAACACCTCCCACTGTGCCCAGTGTCCAGCCTGGCCTTGGGCACTGCCAGGGATGCAGGGACACCCTGTGCCAGGGCCTGCCCACCCTGCCAGGGAGGAAATTGTCCCTAATATCTGATCTAAACCTGTANGTTGGTGACCTATCAATCACTCCCCAGCATCTCCTCACACTGGGAATGATTCCCAGAAATCACAAACTCAGGGAATGGTTTGGGTTGGAAGGGACCTTGAGGATCCAACCCAAGGTAAGACTCCAGACAGGCAAATCAGAAAGAGAAAAGCAGGAATCAGATACCTGGCCATCCTCATCCTCATGTTGAGGGCAAGGAGGAGAAGTATCTGCAAGTTTTACACAGCACTGCAGAGAATTATTGGGAATATTTCCCATTCCCAAATGCCACAGTTAACAAGTCCTTCCCCTCCAGCAGAGGACAGAACACCTGGAAATGAATCAATATTCTCTGCTGGAAACAATTTGCCCCAGAAAAGACAGCTGTGAAGGTGTGAAGGATGCCCAGTGTGCTCCAGTCTGTTCCATGGCTGTTCCAGCCCTGCAATCCCCTCAGAATCAGCAGCTGCTCCTCACACCCTGGCTGTGCTGTAAGAACAGACCCTGGCCAAGGACAATTCCTGATCAAAAACAGTGGCAGGAAAAACCCAATTCATGGAATCCCCAAATCCCCGGGGCTGGCACAGCCCTGCCAGCCCATGCAGTGCCAGCTGTGCCCACCTTGTCCCCAGCCCAGAGCACTCAGTGCCACCTCCAGGGCACACCTGCAGGGATGGGCACTGCAAAGCTCCCTGGGCAGCCCCTGCCAAGGCCTGAGCTCCCTTTCCATGGGCAAATTGCTGCTGCTGTCCAACCAATCCCCTTCCCAACATCAGAGGGTGGCACTGGAGGACACAAACCTCATCTGCATCCCTGGAAGGTTTGGGAAGACAGGAATCAGGAATGTTTTCCAGGAGTGCCAGGGGAGGTTTTACATTTAGGGATTTTGTTACCTCTGAGCTTCTTTTTGCTTTTCCAGCTCCACTATCTTCCTTTCCTGCTCCTTCTGTTTCAACTTCTCAGCTTCCAAGCTCTTCTGCTTCTGGAGCTGCTGTTTGTTATGGATTTCTCTCAGCTCCTGGATGAAAAAAAAAAAACAAACAGGTGTAAAAATCCACTCTGTGAATCAGAACTGATGGCCCCAAAGAGCTCCCTGTGAGGGGACAACAGCTGGCAGAGGTTGGGGATCTCTCACAGTCACACTCCTGCAAATGCAGGGATTTCAGGTTCATTGCCAGGGTCTATAAACCACCTACTGACTCCCTATTTTTATGCATTAAAGGGTTAGGAAACCAAAAATCCTTTAAATGGGACTCTAAAAAATGGTCAAGGCTTAATCTGAACAGTCACTTCTGTTTTGTTTTGTTTGTTGGTTTATGGAATCCATTTATTGAATTCCATACACAAATCTGCCCTCCGAGCTCTCACAACAGCAGCTCTTAATCAGTTTCATTTGCCAATTAATGCTGATTTACTAAAGAACCTTCAGGGCTGGTTTATACACAGCAGACTGAAATCCTTAAGGAATGTCTTTGGGATGAGTCATGGTACAGAGATTATTCACTCATATACGTCAGCTTTTCTTCAGCTGCCTGAAAAAATTAGAATACAAAATAATAATAATACCATAATATTTTCCTCAAGATTTGTTCTCTGCATTAACACCTATTAACACAAATCCAACCTTTATCCAACCTTTCTACTTCCAACCCAGACCACTCCATGCTTTCTTTGCATGACCTGCAATTTTGCATCTGAACTCCTCAGCATTTAGAAAAAGGGAAAATTTATCTATGACCACTGAGGATTTTCACTGAAAATAGTTCACTTCAAAAATTGATATCTGATCATGAAATTATGGTCCAGGTGAGACTGAAACAGTTAATCCTGGAAGTATTTGGATGTTTTTTCAGGAATTCACAATCTACAAACCACAGGAAGTTTTCATTCCTCATGCACTGACCCAAATAAGAAAATTGCATAAGAAACAAAAAAAGAAATGGCAGTGATTCAAACCCACTGGGTACAGGGGTGAAAGCTTCAAAGTGAAGCTATCTTGTGGCCCAGGTCTCAGCTTTATTTCATTAATGCTCCTTAATTTTAAATTCAGTGAAAACTGAGCTCAGCATCATTAAAGAGAGAACCAGTTCCCAGCGAAGCTGGAGTTAAAGAGACATTTTAAGAATTATTGAAGTTTCACACAAACATTTCAACACACTATTCCCTCCCAGCCAAGCTGATGTGCTGGCTCAGTGTTCTGTGAAAGGGTTTTCCTGTGGCAGAACTGTGTGTTAAGAAAACCAAACCCAGTTCATAGTGCTGGCACTGGATGGGGCATTTTTGCAGATTAAAAAATCCCATCCACATCCCTTTTGGGGCAGCCAGAGGGAACAAAGATCTGCTGGGCAAGGTTGCTTTGCCAATGGGAGGATGGGGGAGGAAGAGCCAGCATCTCCCAGAGCTGAACAAAAATTCTAACAGCTAACACACCCCAACAGGCAGGACACAGGATGAGCACACTCTGCCCTCATCCTGCACACAGAAACTCCCAGCTGGACATTCCCCTCCTGTGCTGCCATTCCAAGGGCACCCTATTGCAGACATCTTTTATGGAAAACCCTTTCCTTGGGATTTTTCCTCCTGAGAAGCTGAGAGGCCTCAGGAACAAAATGCAAACAATGGTTATCTGCTGCTGTGGAATGCAACAGGTGCATCTGGGATTGGTGTCATGTGGTTGTTTCTGATTAATGGCCAATCACAGCCAGCTGGCTCGGACAGAGAGTCCAAGACACAAACCTTTGTTATTCATTCCTTCTTTTTCTATTCTTAGCCAGCCTTCTGATGAAATCCTTTCTTCTATAGTTTTAATACATCATTTTAATATAATATCTATCATAAAACAATAAATCAGCCTTCTGAACCATGGAGTCAGATCCTCATCCTGGGAGCCCTGTGAGCACCACAGAGCACCCCAAGGCTTTGCTCATTCCTGGACCAGGAATGCCTCACCTTAAAAGCAGAGCAATTGTTCCCCTGGCACTTCAATCCAAGCAGAGCAAAAGGAGGGTTTGAGGTGCTACAAAGCCACATTGATACTATTGAATAGGAACTGCAGCATTTCAATATTCACTGTACACAGCCAGGTCGTTTGCTACAAAACCTTCATGGTAGAAGTGGAGTTGTTTTGGCCCAGTTTGTGCCTTTTTGACAGAAAGACAGCAGGACCTGGGATGTTCAGGGATTACAATCCAAGGCTTCCATCAGATCTTCTCCCCCTGAGACAAGCAGAGCTTGAGGAAAGGACCCTGCAGCTCTGTGCTCCCTGAAGCTGTCCCAAGTAACCCTTTCCTGCCCATTCCCAGCTCCCAAAGCCTCTGCTTTGGCCTTGGCAGCCAATTCCTGCCTTCACCCATTCCTGGGGGTGCTGGGCAAAGGAAGGGAGCTGCCACCCCTCTGCTGGAATCACAGACTCCAGAGATGTAGGGATACCTCACATCCAACCCAAAGTTTGCTTTGTCAAAATTTTGTACATCATGACCAAAACAAGCAATTTACTTAAACTCCTGAAGTTCCAGATAAGCAAAAGACAAAAATAACTCACTACAACTGTGCCCAAGTTGCAATTCAAGGCACACACCCCTCAGGCAGGAATAAGGATTAGATCAAAATAGATAAAAATCTAATGCTAAACTCTTGTGTCTGGTTTTGGATTGGTGCTGGCAGCCCTCAGCAAACACTGCACACTCATCTGCGTAGGGAAAGTGAAGCACATTGTGGGATCTCAGCAGCTCAG